CACAACGCATCAAATCAGATCCCAACTCCACCATCAGAGATTACTTGAAGATGACTTTGTCAGGATTCGCGCAGCTCCTCAGACATTCACAACTTGGCCTTGTTGGCGCTTTGCGTGCTGGGAACCTTCCCAGCCAGGCCTTTGACACACTCGTCAACATTCTCGTCAGCCAGAGCGATGCGGGAGGTGTTTCTAAGCAAAACGCCGAAGAAGTCTTCCGTGTACATGGTCGTCGACCTCAATGGGCGTCTGGATCTGATACCACTGTTCTTGAAATAGAGGAAGCGACTGCTACAACCGTCATTCGTTTGGCCAGTACAATGGAACCTCGCAGGCTTCACTTCATTAAAGACTCGTTTATTCACATCATCAATGTCTTGCTGAGTCAACCAGACATGAAGCTCGCGTCGCTCTCAGTCATGGATGACGCAGAGACTGACTATGTCTCTAACACCCTCTCCAACCGCACAAGTCTTCGAGTCCCTGAGGCAGAACTTCTTCATAGTGCATTCGAGAGGGTCGCTACCAGCACTCCGGACACTATTGCCGTTGACTTTGACGGGAAAGAGATCGTGTCGTATGCATTGCTGGACAAGCTCTCGAATCGATTCGCTCACACTCTCATTGCTCATGGCGTCTCTTCCGGAGACCTGGTGCCTCTGATGCTTGAGAAGTCAGTCGACATGATGGTTGCCATTCTAGGCGTCATGAAGGCGGGAGGAGCGTATGTCCCTCTGAGTCCAGATAACCCGAACGAAAGGAACGGCTTTGTGGTTTCCGATACACGGGCCAAGCTCCTCGTGGCCCATCCGCAGCATGCTGAATTCGGAGCCTACGTCAAGCAACTCTACGGCATTGAGTCACTGGTCATGCCAAGTCATGAAACGCTTAGCACCGTCTCGAGCGATGGATCCGATGCCAACATTGCGCCGATAACACGCACGACACCCGACAATATTGCTTACATGATCTACACATCTGGCAGCACTGGTATGCCCAAAGGTGTCATGGTGCCTCACCGAGCGGCCGCGGCTGCAGTCACCAGCATGGCACAAGTGGAAGGCCGGTTTGAGGGCACCTGGCGGACTCTGCAGTTCGCCAACTACGTCTTCGACGCATCCGTTCAAGACTTCTTCAACACACTCAGCACTGGTGGAACACTCTGTATGGCGCCCACCGAAACTTTACTTTCCGACATTACTGGATGCATCAACCGAATGGATGTCAGGCAGGCAATCATCACGCCAACGGTCGCGAAGCTCTTCAGTCCAGAAGATGTGCCAGGCTTCGAGACTCTGATAGTGGGTGGTGAACCTCTGACGCCAGATGTTGTTGAGATTTGGAGCCCTGACTGCAAAATCTTGAACGTTTACGGTCCAACAGAGACATCCATGGTGGTGACGACCAAGAGCATCGAGCCGTCGTCAGATATTACCACTCATCGCATTGGCAACATTGGAGCTCCTTTCTCAACTGTCATGGCTTTCATCCTTAGCCCAGACGGTGAGGGTTTGGTCCCGTACGGCGCTGTTGGCGAGCTGTGCATCGCAGGGCCACAAGTGACCGACGGCTACATGAATAGGCTAGACTTAACAGAGGCCGCCTACGTCGAAAGCAACTCCCTTGGTGCGCGCATCTATCGTACAGGAGATCTAGCGCGCTGGCTTCCAGAGGGTGAGATCGAGTGTCTCGGAAGAAAAGACAATCAGGTCAAGGTCCATGGCCATCGCATCGAACTTGGAGAGGTCGAAAACTCCATCCGTCGTTCCGGACTCGTCAAGGATACAGTGGCATTGGCTGCTACCATCCAAGGCAAGACTCATCTTATCGCATTCTGCATATTTGACGAAGCTTCTGCAGCCGTTGGCCCAACTGGTGTTCAGGATCCGTCAACTTTCCGAGGCTCTCTTGCTGAACTGCGCGAGAATCTTGATTCACTGGCGACGTACATGGTTCCGAAGTTCGTTGTTCCCATGAACGCTTTCCCCAAGCTGCCCTCGCGCAAAGTCGACCGTAAGGCACTGAAAATGCTAGCTAACGAGCTCGACCGGGAGTATTTGGCGCAGTCCGTGCTAGAGACTCCTGGCGAAAATCACCAAGTTATCCCAGTCGAGACACCATCAGAAGAGATCCTCGAGCTCGTATGGGCTGAGATCTTCAGCATCCCTCAGAGTGAGATCGGACGTGAAGCGAACTTCTTTACGCTTGGGGGTGATTCGATTTCCGCCATCAGCCTCACGGGTCAGTTGCGAAGACTAGGCTACTCGCTAACGGTGCTTGATATCCTCAAGACCCCCAAATTGAAGGATATGGCCTCCACTCTGCGCAAGATAGAAGCACGCGGTGAGGTGGTTGAGCGCTCCTTCGAGATCCCTCCGTCAATCAAGGTAGCTGCCCAGGAAGTTGGGATAGCATGGGATACAGATGTCGATCATGGTAAGCTTCCTTTTGCACAATTTCCAGTCAGGCGGCCAGCTCACGACTATTCCAGTGTACCCATGCCCTCCCGGTCAAGCCGAGTTCCTCAAACAGGGCAGCCGAGAGTCGCAAATGTGGGCGCTGCAGACTGTCCGACGCATGACGGCGGACGTCGACCCGGATACGTGGATTGAAGCAACGACTCGACTTACTGAACTCAACGAAATCCTGCGGACGACTTGGATTGATATACCCGAAGCTGGCTGGGTCGGAGTTGTACTTCATGGCTCCGAGCTAAATGTTACCAAGGTGACCTTGGACTCCGAGTCAGAGTCCTCGAGCTTCATTGAAGAGTTTTGGCAGACTCGTTTTGAATTTGGTCGTCCCTTCGTCAAATACGCTGTCATAACCCATAGCGATGCATCTTGGGATCTTGTCATCAAGATGGATCACGCTGTTTACGACGGCACTTTGCTTCGCGTATTTGATGACCACTTTGGCGCCATTCTTCGGGGCGAAAGCGTACCGCCACCAGTAGAGTTCCGCGACTTCTCTCAGCATGTCTTTGCAGAAGACAAGACAGCCAGCCTTGGTTACTGGAAAGCAAAGATGGATGGGCTAGGGCCTTTTGATCAGCAGCTGCATGGCCGAGATCTTGCTACGGCCCCATCACCCAAAATCACTGCCAGCTTGCGAAGAGATATTGTGACGACAGACATCGACCAAGCAGCTTCTCGCCTTGGAGTCACTCCGAGCATCATCTTTCAAGGAGCGTTCTCCCTTTGGCTTGCTGCAGCGACCGAGGCTACGGATATTCGCTTTGACTATTTGCTGAGCGGTCGCAACGTAGCGCTGCCGGATCCTCAGTCAATCAACGGAACACTGGCCAACTTCTTGCCATTCCGAACGCCCGTTGGCCCGAAGGAGTTGGTGCACGACTTCCTTGCCAAATTACAAGACGACTTTTGGGATGTAACCGAGAACGGCCTCGTTGGCCTTGACGATATTTACGGCGTCGCTGGCCTATCTCGCGAGACACACGGTAACCGAATCTTGTTCCTCTCTCAACCATTTGAGCCGGCAGCGAAGGATGATCCGAATGGCCGCTACCGATGGCTTGTCATGGCGAAGTCGAAGGTGCGCATGTACCAGCCATACGCGCTGGTCGTCGAAGTGTCCAAGTCGCTGGGTGATCGCCACATACTGAAGGTCATGTATGACGACACCATCTTGGATCCGTCGGTGGCGGGAAGTATTGCGGATGGTATCGTTGCCTTGGTCGAGGTCCTGACTGATGCCACCAACGCGAATCTGGCACTTGAAGCGTTGTGACTAGGACCGAGGTCTTGCTGTAGGACGATAGAGGCTTTGCTTAGTACAGAATAAATGATCTCTGCCCAGTTTTAGCTCCAATTCCATACAACTCGGGGGATGATATTCTCGCAAGCTGTGATCATTGAGACCAATATCGCTGGACGACGCGTGAAGAGACGGTGTGTGGTCGTGGTTGAAGCCTTGGCGCTCACTTCGGCAATTACCTCCGGAAATCAAGACATGATATTCCTTGGCAAAAAGAAATGCCAAGTGGCCAAGTGGCCAAGACATCGACCAAGTTAACTGAAGCTTTGGGGCGTTGGGACCACGGACAGGAGTCCTTTCTTGGCCAACCCTCCACAGTTCCTCCACAATCCTCCATCCACATCACGACGCGGGGGGGGACTGACAAGGGAGCAAAATTTCCAACAAAGAGATGGATCACTGGGGGAGTTTGCGGCTTTGTGCGGGGGAATCTCGACTAACGACGCAAGTCGAATCCATCTGATTGTTGGCTACTTTTCTCCGTTGACCACGGCAGAAATTCCATCAATCAGTTGCTCGCGTAGACCAGACGGCGCAGTCGACCCTGGAAACCGACATGCAGGCAACCTGCACAATCTCCGAATCCACCTCAGCTAAAGCTCGTTGGCTCGCATCTTCCCCAACTTCTCCCCCTCGTCGCGATGGGGTTCGAGGCTGGTCAACCCTTCAAACCCCATGGGCGCACGGCTGGGGGAGCCTGGAGAGCCTGGGGCTACTGCGAGGCCGGCGAGAGACCCGGTGCGGCGGTCTGCTGATTACGCGGATGGACTGATGCGGGAGTACCAGGACGCTGAACGAGAGGAGAAACGAGGGCTTGATAGGTGGAATGGGTTGTGTTGTTTCTCCTTCGCGCAGTGCGTCCTGGTTATTTCCAGATGGCTGGGCGTAGCGAGACTAGCTTGCTATCGCCCCAACTAGCTGCTTATTCTACCCCTGCCATGTTACCCCGACTTTGGAGAGACGTCGAATATTTTCATAGCCGAAGAGCTGTTGATAGCCATGATGATCACTTAGGGTGTAGAGCAATTGGGAAAGAATTGTGACTTGGCGATGCAGGTCCATTGCCAAGCGGAACGAGTATATGAAGACGCTCGCGCTCTGGGAGTTGTTCTGGATGGCTGATCACCTCCCCCGAGCAGCCTCCTTACTTGGCAACTCACTTGGCAATCCCACTCAACCTCGTGTGTGTGTTTCCCTCTCACCACTCAATCCCACACGTAGCCATGAGAGTCTCTTCCATCTTCGCCGTCCTGGCGGCTGCCAGCAGCGCCCTTGCCTACTCGGCCGAGTTGATTCCGGCCGGCGTCCCTCGCAACGTGGACGAGTTCCGCGTTAAGCACCCTTATCAGAAGCGATCCAGGGGCTGCCGCAACACCTACACTCTGCGCGCCTCGGAGAACGACCTGGATGACGTCTCTGACGAGTTTGTCGAGGGCCTGAAGCTGGCCAACAACGGCGGCACTCTGCACCTCCCCGCAAACCAGACATTCATCATTGGCAAGCCGCTCGATCTGACGTGGCTCAATGATATCCACGTCCACTGGGAGGGTGAGATCAAGTTCACCAACGACACCCCGTACTGGCAGGCCAATGCCTTCCACCATCCGTTCCAGAACTCCATCATGTTCTGGAAGTGGGGAGGCAAGGACGTCAAGCTGTACGGCCAGGGTGTTCTAAACGGTAACGGCCAGAGATGGTGGAACGAGTTTGCCGGTCTTGAGTAAGCTTTCGACAGATCCTTGACTTGCTTTAAGCTTATCTCTAACAAACTTTTAGGATTCTAGACCCCACAAACGCCTACCTCCGGCCTATCCTGTTTTATGCGGAGAACGCGACCGGATTGTCCATTGAGGGCATCCACTTCAAGGACTCTCCTTGCTGGACTACCTTCATCGTGACTTGTAAGTGGTGCCGCCATTATTACTGCAAGATGCCCAGCGCTAACAGAATTTTAGCCAAGGACATCTCCTTCACCGACGTCATTGTCACCGCCGAGACCAACAACCACACTGCCGAGCCCAAGAACACCGACTTCTTCGACTCTCTGAACGTTGAAGATGTCCGCGTCAAGCGCGCCTGGGTGAACATTGGTGACGACTGCTTCTCCCCCAAGTCCAACGCCACCAACGTCCACGTCGACACCATGTACTGCAACGGCACCCACGGACAGTCCATCGGATCTCTTGGTCAGTACGCCGGCGAGAAGAGCTTCGTCAAGGACGTCGTCATTGAGAACGTCTGGATGCTCAACGGCCAGCACGGTGCCCGCCTCAAGACCTGGGCCGGCCCCAACATTGGCTACGGCTTTATCGACAACGTCACCTTCCGCAACTTCTGGCAGGCAAACAACGAGTACACGGCCTTCATTGACTCGTGCTACTTCAACATCAACGCCACCACCTGCGCTGCGTACCCCTCCCAGATGAACATCAGCAACATTCTGTTTGAGAACTTCTCTGGATACTCGAGCGGCAAGTACGGCCGTGCTGTCGCTAAGCTTACTTGCTCCACCAACCCGAACGCCGTCTGCGACAACATTCAGTTCAAGAACTTCAACATCACTACCCCGTGCGGTGGTGACCCCGTCATTCTCTGCGACGGTATCAAGGGAGACATTGGGACGCCCTGCGTTTCCGCCACTAGTGATGAGGGTAAGGCTGCCCTGGCGGCCAAGTGCACAACTGCCATGGCTGTAGCCACTCCATGGGAGGTCAGGCCCTTCAAGGGTTGATTAATGATCGGCTTACACTCGTCTCTAAATGCGAGTAGTGCCAGATGTCAGGAGTCAAGATGGTGACCAAGTCATATAGTGACGACATAGATTCTTGTACAAAATTAAAATTTACGTATACAATTTTGACAACCTCTGTAGTTCATGCCTAGTGTTTTCTTCCGCGTTGCAAGTATGTCCATAACCCTTTTACAAAAACGCGGCAACACCGACAAGACCAGCGGCAACGGCAGCGGCTGCGATCATGCCGGTCTGACGGGTTCCAACGTTGACGGGAACCTGCGTTGGGTTGTTACGGCCGCTTGTCGCACTGACACCGGCACCTGTGCCAGCGGCAGCTCCAGTCTTTGTCTCGCCGGTAGACTTGGGAAAATCGCCGCCAGCAGCCGTGGTCTTTGGTGCAGAAGAGCCAGACTCCGTGGCACCACTACCGAGTTCCGCCGTGCAGAGCGGGATCTCGGTCTCAAACTCGGAGAGAGTGGAGCAAACGGACACTGCCGACGCGATCGAGGCCGAGTTGGCGTCGACCCAGCTCAGAAGCTCCGAGGTATAGCTCGAGTACTCGGCGCTCAGCTCCGCAGGGACAGTGATGCTGCAAGGGTCGGTTTGAGGAGGAGCAGTCATCTCATAGGAGAGAATCTTGGGAGGAGGAGTGGGTGCGTTGGCGTAGACTGTGCCTAGGGCATTGAGACATGGGTCGGCGGAGAGCTCAGTCTGACGGGGAACGACATCGCGACGGATGCGGTCCGGTCTGACGTCGAAGACGGCGGTCGCTGAACCGGCCAGGACGGCGATCAGGGCGGTCTTGGTGTACATGTTGTGGGAAGTGAGTGTGAGATCTGGTAAAGACTGTGAGTTGAGATATACAAATGAGTACCAATGAATAGATTATATTGTTGGAAGAACGGAATGAAGTTGATGAGGACGTCGGGTTACCGAAACTGCGGCTTTCATCTCAATAAATATGAGAATGAATGAAGACGGATCGCATGCCCCTGGACACTACTTTGGTGTAGCTTAATTTCAAGCATGAAAATAAGGATTCCTGGCTTCAATCCGCTGCCACCGTCCACGGCCGTGCTCTCTACTTAGTGCACGCAAACGTCTAGAAAGCTCAATCATGGGGAAGACAAGCTTCATGAGAAGTGAGCTGGGTGCTGTCAAAGCGGCATGCCGATGACTGACGGCGTCATCCTGGCTTTTGAGAGGATCTTAGCCATGGCTTATGAAATGGCAACAAGCCCTTCAGCTAACCCGAAATACTAAAGGAGGATGACTTGCAGCTCATTCGAAGAAACGTTGGGCTAAAGAAGACTTGTTCAACCTGGCTCTAGTTTCGTTTCGGTGCAAGGCACTAAGATAGCCAAATCAGGGGAAATGGCGAAGCTAGTGCTAGAAGATGTTTTGCCTGGAGCTATTTTAGGTTGTTACACACTACTCAAGAGGCCTAGATGGGAGTCCAAGAAAGGAGATCGGTAATACCCGCCTCTTGTTTCTCAGAAAGGAGGCTTACTGGCAAACAGGCTCACTGTAGTTAGTCACGATGCTTCTCTAAATGAATCTCACTACTGTCACTTGAGGCCTAAAACGCATTCTAGACCGGTCGCAAACCTCGGAGTGCTTTACACTGGCAGGCAAGAGAAATTCAAAAGAAAAATAATGATCGAACTGTGTCTTGTTGTGCAGGTGAGTGATCTGTCACAGGAATGTGACTTGCGAAGTTCTACAGATGGGTTAGCGAGAGCCTCTATCCTCGTTAGCCGAGTAGCTACATGTTGGTGGCCCGTGAGTGTGACTCGATGCAACGAGAAGGGTCACGATTTGAGAAAAAAGTTGTCCACGCCACCATATCCAAGCAATGTTCCAGCCTTACGCCAACTGCTTCTCGGTAATCGAAGCTTTCCCAGAATGCCAACGACCTGGCAGTCCTCGGGGCCCCGTGGCATTCTTCGCGACTCCTTCAATCTTGCCCGTGCGCACGTGGACTGAAGCTATATGAGGATATTTCCGAATGGCATTGCAAACTTCTGGGGAGCATATCAAGCGATAGTATAACGTGAAGATTGAATGAAATTCAGTGTAGTCTGTCTTCATATGTCTATTGTTGCCCCTGTCTTGACCACGAACTCGAAAGGAAAACTTATTCCTGGAGTCCAACGACGCCGACCTTGAGGTAGTGATCGTTGTTCTGGATCTTCTCCCCAATCACGCCGCTCTTGAGCTCATCAATATCCCACTTGGCCCAGACAAAGCGGCCATGCAAGAAGCGCGCCTCCTCAGATGCGGCCCAGACGGCGAAATTTCCAGCCAAGTCAACTAGAAGCCAGACATGATTAGCAGGTGCACACCACTTTCTTTGATCTCGGACTACACATACCATGATCAAACGGATAGATGTCCTCGGGAATCCCAGCGTTCTTGAAAGCCGAGGTATGCACCACACCCGGGTGGAAGTTGAGAACCTGCATCTTCTCGGGAGGGGTATCCTTGGCAATCATCTGGATCAGCATCGTTCCTGCGTTCTTGCTCGCGCTGTAAGCAGGCCAAGGGCCCGATTTGGTAAAGTTGTGACTAGCTTCCGTAGATACGTTGACGAGGAACTGTAGCCATCCTGTCAGTTCTGACTTCCGTCACGCACTGTATCGAGCTTGCATACCTTCTGGCGACCTTCGCCATTCTTCTGCTTGTAGAACTTCTCAGAGAGATCCAGGAGTGAGCGGACGTTCATAGTGAAGGAGCTCCAGACCTCATCTCTCCCCAGAGACAAGATGGGCCCATGTTCCGAAACCTTGGCGGCATTGAGAACAAGGACATCAATGACGGTGCCGTCCTCTTCGAAGCCCTTCCAGAGCTTCTCGACGTCTGCGAGGTCATCTACGTCGATGGAGTATCCGTCGAACTGCACCTGGGGAAACTCCTTCTTGAGCTCCGAGACTGCCTCATCAACGAGGTTCCGGCGGCGGCCGAGAATAATGATGCGCTTGGCATGGGCCTGCGCGAAGCCCTTTGCGATGGCGAAGCCGATGCCAGCTGAGCCGCCAGTGATGAGGACTGTTCGTCCTGCCTGGGAGAGCTCTGGGCGGGAAGGGAAGATGGTTGGGTAGGGCTTTTTGTGCTCCTTCTTGGTGAAGGTCATTCCGGTCTCGTAGATGGAGGTGGAAGTCAGTGCTGCAAAAGCGGCGGCGCCAATATCGCTGTCCATGTTGAGAGTCGTGTTGAAGGTTTCTTTGATGTATCTGGAGGGGGTTCAAGGTGTTATTGGATTTGATGTGATGTCAAGATTGAAGAAGCTGATGATCTGGTTTAAGAATCTAAGGGATACATCATTTGGCAAAATCATCGCAGTCTTATATCGTTTCCCAGCACTGTTGGTAACACAAACACCAGCCCTTCATTCCCACCAATTCAATCAGCAAAGACGTGATCAATCGCTCAACGTTGTTGTAGATCCATCGTTTGTCATCATATTAGCCATCAAAAACTTTTTGGTGGTTAGAATCCGTTCAACTCCGACGTGCCCAATCGCTGCAGCCGGGAAGTCGAGTCCGCAAACCACCCGCATAGAATTCCCGCAAGTTTCCCGCAAGTCTTCCGCCGAAAACCCGCAAAACCCACACCGGCGCTGCGCGGTAGCCCCACTCCGTACATTGCTTACGGCGCCCCGAGCCCGCGCCTTGGTAGTTAGCGCTGACAAATGCCGTCATCCTCTCAACTCAAAGGTTCTCCTGCGCGGTTTCTGCTTCAGCAATCATGGTCTCGGATCTGTTGCGAGATCGTTGTGATGACAAACACGGCTTGATACAAACCAAGACACAGTTTGACGGCTGAGCACCTCATTTGATGTAACTCGAGCGAAGCGCCATTGTCGACCCAAGTAAGCAAGTATCGAGAAATGACTCGCCTCTCCAAGCAAAAGGCATGCATAGCATGCACAGAATCCAAACGCCGCTGCGATAAAGGCCTACCATCATGTTCCCGCTGCGACGACCGCGACGTAGACTGCCACTACCCCGTCACAAAACGACGCCGGCGACCCGAGACCTTCAAGCCGCTCCCGTTTTCTGACCCACCGGCACCGGCCCCGGCATCGTTTCAGCAGCAGCACTCCATCCAGGCAGCGATGCCAGATACGCTCCTCTTCGACGCATCTCCTCTGACAAACGGCATCTGGAGCATGCCCTGGTCTGACCTAGACTTCACCACCCCAAACCTCCCTCTCTCGCCAGCAACAGCCTTCTCCCTCCCGCCACCAAAACCCGCAACATTTCCGCAGCAGCAGCTACATCATGAACCATACATCACCAAACCAGACTACCCTCGCCTCAAGTCCTCCGTAGCCGCCTCCCTCGCAGGAAGCCAGTGGTTCCTCGCCCCCCAAACATGGAGGATAGACCACTGGCCTGCGCCCCCGCGCGATGCCTACCCTGTCTCCGTCCTGACCAACTTCACTCGCGGTCTGCAGGCCTGGGTCCGGCGGTGGGTGATGGACGGCCACAACCCCTTTATCCACCGCAGTCTTTACACCGAGGGGAATCACTTCCCATCGTGCGTCCAGGACGCTTTTGCCGCGGCGTCGGTGTACTTCCACAAGACGTCTTTGAATGAGGCGTTTGTCCATCGAATCTTGGATGAACGCGTCACGGCCCTGCTGGCAAGTCAGCCCGCGGTAGAGGGCAATGACTCCATGTCCGTCCCTTTACTCGAGACGAGAGATCATCTAGCTCGCGTGCATGCCCTCTACGTCTACACCATCATCCGCCTCTTCGACGGCTCAGTAAGCCTACGCGCCGCCGCCGAAGAACACCTGCCTACCCTAGATCTCTGGTCAAAACAACTATGGGAATCCGCCCAAAGAGACGCCGACACTCTCTACAGGAGCCAATGCCCCCCCTCAACATGGAAATGCCAAGCACAAAGGGATTCGGACCTAGCAGACCAAGTCACAGCAAACACCAACGCCGCCAACGCCGCCAGACCAGGGAGAAACAATAACAACGACAAGCCCAGCCACCCAAAAGAAGAAGTATTCAACCGCGACCTCTGGACCTGGAACCTCTGGGTCCTCTCCGAATCTGTCCGCCGCACCTGGATCATCGTCGTCTGCACCCTGGGCGTGTACAACGCCCTCAAGGGGAAATGGGGCGAGTGCTCAGGCGGCGCCCTCTTCACCGCCCGTGCGGGCCTCTGGGATGCGCCCTCGGCTCCGCGATGGGCGGCGCTCTGTCGAGAGACGTCCGGGAAGGGGGTCAGGACCGGACGAGGCAGAGGTGGTACCGGTGCCGGAGTTGATGCTGCTGCCGATCGTCCGGGGGCGGAGTGCAGCGAGGATGATGATGCCAACGGCTGCGGCGATCGGAATCTCTTTGTGCCTTCTCTTGATAGCGATGGGCTACTTCACAACACGGCCGCGGCGGATGTTGATGAGTTTGCGAGGCACTTGTTTACATGTATCTGGGGTCTCGACCGTGTTGAAGATTGGGCACTAAGAACGGCTTCAGAAGGGGAGGTGAACTTGGTTTATTGAGGTTGAACGCTGTGGTTTCGGGTAAGGCGGACTCAATGTGGCTAGGACTTATCTGCCATGCCCTTTGACAGAAGGCCATGGATGTCAACAGGTTTGAGATCATTACTGTGAACGACATGGGCGGTATTTTCGAAAACTATCATTCACGTCAGCGGGTGTGAGATATGCTCCTGACCACAGACTTCGAACCACGAATACTGGAATATCATTACTTCAAAGACTTCATGTTATAATATACTTTTACATACGGATCTACTGGCGAGACTGTAACGTCATGACACAAAAACATCTTCCATTTATTTGCAAGGCATGATCATTACCGTCAACGCCCGTCGAGGCAGGGCCATTCGACATCTAGGCCTTTTACGATCCCCGCACCGTCCCTAATCAAATTGCGTTTTGAGATACCGAGCACACGGCTACCTACTCCTCATCCTCTTCCGCCTCGGCCATCTCCTCGTCGGCGTCCTCATCGGCCTCTTCTGCCTCCTCTGCCTCCTCTGCCTCCTCGGCCCCTTCGGCCTCCTCAGTCGCGTCTGTTCCGTTGACCTTCGTGACCTCGGCAACTTGAGGCGCGGCGCCACCCTGCTTCTCGAGTTGAAGCCACTCGTCCCACTCGGGGAACAGGTCTTCGTCTTCTACCGGAGCACCGACCATCTTGGCGACGCGGCCCTTCTTCCCCTTTTCGAGGCTTTCCTTCCACTCCTTGACGACATCTGCCGTCAGACTAGGCTTGTATGTTTGCGAGAACAAGACAGCCTCCGCTAACCGTCCAGTCTTGGTAAGAATCTCCACGCAGCCAGCAACGTCGCCTAGCAGCCACTTGCAGCTAAATGCCACGTTGTGAGCGCCGGCCTCTTGCGCTTGATCAGAGAGTTTTGACAGGCCACTGCGGTCGGATGTGGAGGAGTAGAGAAGGAGCAACGAGCCAAGGTCCTTCGCATGTGTAAAGCACTCTTGCGCCACGGCGACCTGCCATCCGGCAAGGGCAGCGTCTCCGACTGTCTTCCACTTGTGCTCAACGTCTGCCTCTCTCGCCAACTCGAGAGCAGTATCCAACTGACCCAGTCCGAGAGCGAGGTCAAACTTGTGTTCGGGATCGGTAGCAACCTCCAGGGCAAGTTCCTTGTGACCCTGTCCCTCCAAGAATCGTGCGATCTTGTTGAGTTGGTCTGCAGGAATCGTGTGCAAGAGTTCTTGTGCAGTCTCCATATCATCACGAAGAACCAGAGTCTGGTACTCGAGCACAGGTAAGGACAAGGAAAAGGAGGTGACACCGACATCCTTATCAGCCAGGTAGATTCTTGAATCACGCTGGATGTAACCCAGGATGTACATGGACTGGTCGAAGTGGGATACCGTGTAAGTCTGGTCGCCCACAAGGTAGTTCAACCGGTTGGTGCTGTTGGTGTATAGGAAGCAATCCCCAACCCACTCTCCGGTGCGAACACTACTTGAGCATTAGCATCTAGTTGTTTGAGGCGTAGATAAACAGCTTACCTCTCGTTGATGTCCGTGATGACCTCAAAGGCGGCCTCGACACCATCTTCGTCAATCTGGTTGGTTTGGACACCCTCGACGTAGGCTTCGCGCGAGAAACGCAGGACGTAGAAGGTGTCTTCGCATGCGAGGGCAACCAATTCGCCGCTATCAGACCAGTACACCTATTCAAATTAGCACATGGACCGAAGCAGCGCAGCAAGAAACCAACCTCTCTCGGCTCGACCTCAATGCGTCTGACCAGACCACCGGTCTGCCAGTCAAAGAATGAGATACCCCCTTGGCCCTTGACACCAAGAAGGACACCTCCAGTCAAGCCTTCAGCCTGGAAACCGACATCGAGGCCACCCGCCTTCTCAACAAAGTTCTTATACACCTTGACGCTGGTTGCCGACTCTCGGATGGCGAAGTCGTTGGTGTTCTCCTTGGATGCCCAGACGAAGTCCAGCGCAGAGCCAAAGGCCTTGTTACGCCAAGCGAGAGCCGTGTAGATGATGTATTCTCCATCTCCGCAGACTGCGACAAATCTACCATTCGGGTTGTGTACAAGGGTCGAGGGGTACACTTCGCAGGTACCGAGCTCCTTGACAGGAAGGGAAATGGGCTCGTTGTCCTTGATCGAGGCATCTAGTGGTGTTAGCAAAAGGTGTGGGGTTCAAGCTCGACGCAACATACCTCCACCCTTGATAATTGCAGAGACGACTTCGTTGTGGCGGGCCCACACAAGCTTTCCTGACGCATCCATTGACACGGCTGGCTCCTCACGACCCAGCTTCACAACGACAGCACCATCGTCGAAACCAACAGCTACGCCTTGCTTGCCCTTCTGGTAGGAAACGCACCATGCGCGCTCCAGGCCATAGTTGAGAGACTGCTCGAATCGGTATGTATTTGCGTGCCATATCCTAATGGTGCCGTCTTCGGAACCGGAGATGATGACTGGCAGCTCAGGGTGATAGCATGCGAAAGAGACGTTGTTCGTGTGGCCCTCGAGGGTGGCGATCAGAGATTTGGTGGTGTAATCCCAGACCTTGACGGTGCGATCGTCGGATGTCGTCAGAAGATAGGGCTTGTCAGAGTGAGGGTAGTAGTCGACGTGGTTGACACCCTTGGCCTCGTGGGCCTCGAGAGTGAAGTTGGGCGTCGCCGAGCCGAGACTCCAGATCTTGACAGTACGG